TTAGTTTTGATGCAAAAACGCATGATCGCACCGGCTCGCCTGGTGCGTTCCAGCCTTTGTTTGTGTTTGAGTATATTGCTGAAACACACGCACAACATATATGTATATAACATACGCACTATATACATATATATATATATATAGTGCGTATGTTTCGGCATGTGGATATGATATATACATGCACGCACACACATGCAGGCGTACACGCACATAGGTACACCCATACGCATTTGTGGCTTTCGCTTTTCTTTTGCTGTCAGTTGTTGTGGGGGTTGACGTCAATTGAGTGCTTCTCGGGGCAGCTGTCTGATCACGTTCATGCGCCCTGCTACTTTTTAATCAGGAGCCTATCAGCTTGCACTCATCGTAAACTGGATCCCAACACTCAATCCATCATCTTATTCATTTAGCGCAAATTCATCCTGTTCTTTCCCTCTTTGACAGTGATAATTTTATGACAAGATTCGAGTAACATGTTCTCAGTGCAGTAGCTCCGGGTTCAGTTGCCTGACTGTGTGTCAGCCGAAGGTGTGGCTCTTTCGTTGCTACTTACAGTCCTACTCAAGGCCTGACAGCGGCAGTACCCCTCGTACGATTGAACTGCATTGAGTTTTAACTAGCTCCAGTAAGCCAGGCAGACGCTCTGTGATTCTTTTCACGGAAGACTATTGCCAGACGTTAAAAAGACGTCTGGCAATAGTTAAAAAGACAACTGAAAATTAATAACGGATAACGTAGGATGATGCGGCTGCAATCACTATGCTGACAAGTGAAGCTCGCAGTTCCATACAGATGTTCGTACGTATCGTTTCATCACATTAACAACTTCATGTTCTTTTCATAGCGGCAAATTTCATTCTGTAGGTTGCTTCGTTCACATGTCACTTCTCATCCATACACCATTGAACTAGTGCCTCCACTTTGCGGCGTATGTTGCTTGAATAATATCGCTCACATAGGACCAAATCCGCATTACCTCATCGGGAATGTGCTGCGACCTGCTAGTGCCTAAAATGCTTATTGCTTTATCACGTTAAGTCGTTATCAATCTATTTCGTTCAGCAAATGTGATACTATTTTTGTTCCACTGTACACAACAGAACTAACTACTGAAAAGTACGGTTTTGTTTTTGATGTGTCTGCTGTTGGGTGAGACATCTCCTCGCTGTGTGAATTTGTCTAAATTTTCCTCTGTTCTGTCTGCGCAAACGAGATTATCTGTAATTGTTTGCTTTAAGTCCATGTAGCTGCCTGTATGAACTCAGCAAATTTATTTTGCATTTTTGCACATTTATGCAAATGCAAAAATTCATATCGTCAGGAGACTGTTTATGTGTTGGTTTTTTATCCAGAGTTTTCAAATCAGCAACCAGAAAAGCAAAGATGCCGAAATTTTATGAGGATATTCTTTATCTGTGTATGACCTTGGAATTCTAAATTTAGTTCGCACGTTCGTCCAAGCCTCACTAACGAAGACCCGGAAGTCTTGGTGAAATTCTAATTCGGGGATGAAACAATTTTGTGCGCAAGTTATACCAGAACGCCTTCCGAAAATCGTCGAATTTGTGTTTTGCTAGGAACAATATGTGGTATCATGTCGTCGCTATGCATGGTCATTCCAAGCGTTCCGTTTCTCCTCGTCCAATCTCCCACTGCCTCATTGCATTGCACAACCACCGAAAGTGACTCCCCAACGATTGTCGATATTTAATCCTAGCTGTCCACTGGTTTTGCATCGTTTGTTCCTCATCAGTTGACGAATACTTGCTGTTGTGATGTCCGCGGCAGCTACAATGGAGTGTGTGCTCGTATCATCGCCCAGCGTTGTCACATTCGCATCAAGCTGGAACGTCTCTTTTGCATTCGTCCTAGACTTTGAAACCGAATTTTTATTCTCTACGGCAGTAATACTGTTCTTGTGCAGTTTGCGTACATTTTTATTCTACCAGGACAAACGAACTGAGGAACTTGAAAGCGGGAATAATAGATTTTTAGAAACCACAAACATGAAGTTAATTTTCTTCGTTTTGTTCTTTGGTCTCAAGTCCAGAATCCTGCTAATTTTGTAAGCCGTAGATGGGAAAAGTTAACTCAAAATTTTTAGCTCACTGTAACTTGATTAACAGTGTGGGCCAGAGGGCTTAATTTTAGCCTCCAAGTTTTACCTCGTCTTGATTTGACTTCAAGCTCTGCCTAGGATGGGGCCGATCACTGATTATTTTGAATTAAAAAAAAAACTAAAATAATTGGTAATGTGC